TGTGTGTGTGTGTGTGTGTGTGTCCTGTGTGTGTGTGTGCGTGTCAGCTGCTCAGAGTCCACTTCATGTTTACACTGTAAAACATCTCAGCTCAGTAAATAAAAAAACATAAAGAAAAGTCCAATGTGTTGAAGTCAGATGTTTTCAAACATCCAGGACCAGCTGAGCTTCAAACTCCTCCTCCTTCACTTGGCGGTGGCGTTCCCGTGTGGCGGCTGCTGCGCCTGCTGCTGCTGCTGCTCGGCGAGCGCCTGCTGCAGCCGGGTGCGTTTCCTGGAGTAGTGCTGCCAGTGCAGCAGCTGCTGCTCGTCAATGAACTTGGCGCACTGAGCGTTGACCAGCTCCTTCCTGAAGTGTTCGTACTGCAGCAGCTCCAACATGTGCAGGCAGTGAGGATACCTGAGGACGAAGGGTCAACGTTCATCAATCTGACAAAACAGGAAGTCCTGATTTAAGTTAAAGATAAATGTCCTTTTAATTAAAGTTCAGAGTTCAAGCTTGTTTCGGAATCATCGGTGACGTCGCCACAGAAACGTCTGATCCACTGAACATCATCAGAGTGGAAATATTCTCGTCTCTCTGACGAACCTCGGCTCAGTTTCTCCACATTTTACATGTGATCACAACAACAACAACAACACACAACAACAACAACAACAACAATAACACACACACAGGAGCAAAAAGCAGAGATTGTATTTTCTCATGAGGCTAAAACTTTAAATGATCGAGGACGAAGTTCATGATAATAAATATTGTTAATAACAATGTTCCTTTCAATACATTCACATGTGGTAGAGACTTAGTCAAACTGTTTTGTCCTCGTCTTACTTGAGGAACTTGGCGTACTCAGGCTCCTTCCAGTACAGCAGGTACTTCAGGTAGTTGATGAACGGTCTCTCTCTCAGGAAACCTCTCTGAGCCAAAACTGAAACAGTCAAATAAATAAACAAATTCAAAACAAGAAGTACACGTTAAAGATTTCTTTACTGCTCAGAAAGTGTCTCTGGTAGTTTGACTCTTGTTGAGTTGACAACAGAGGACGTTGCTGCTTGTTGACATCGATGAGACAAACTGGACATGAGACAAACTGGACATGAGACAAATACAAAGGGATTGATTGATGTTTCCTGGAAACACTCAAGGTGTTATGGGTAATTTTAAAGGAGTTCAGAGCATCACTCACAGTTCAGGTAGTTTGGATTCGCCAAACACTGAATAAACTCCAACTCTGACTGGAAACGATTCCTGGCCTGTTCCTCTGCACCAGAAAACACACACACACACACACACAGTTAGTTACATTGATTATTCATTGTAAATACTTATATTACAAATCCTCCACACACGGAGGAGTCGTGGCACCTTGAGACGTGTTAATCTGTAAAACATCAGATATATTGAATAACTCAAATGTTCATGAGTCAGATGTTTGACCGAATCACAGACTCACTGTCACAGACACTCAGATGTGTCCCTCATGTGTGAACCTTCATTTAAACTCGTTCAGACTTTAATGTCACTGCTTCATCGGCGGAGTTCCGTGTTCCTCGTCTACGGCTAATGCTAATGCTAACCAGCTAACATTAGCGAGGGAAGGTCACGGATACAAACCTGTTTCCATGACGACGTCTCCTCTACTGACGCAAAATAAAGTTTTTATCTTTTTAATCTTTTCAAACGAAAACACGAAGAAAACGCGTCACAACGTTGATGATGTTTGTTTACAGACGTTCCACTCCAGCCGCCATCTTTGTTTCTTCTTCTTCTGACAAATGTAGAATTTACAGCAGCATTACCGCCACCTGCTGGACTGACAGCAGGTGGCGGTCATATATATGTA